CCGGTCATGGGGCCTGAACTCTGGGCCTGGGCGCTGTCCCTCAGCTCTTCAGCTCAAGGCTAGTGCTCTACCACTTGAGCCACAGCGCCATTTCCGGCTTTTTTCTTTTTGCTTATGTGGTGCTAAGAAATCGAACCCAGGGCCTTGAGCATGCAAGGCAACCGCTCTACCGCTGAGCCACCTTCCCAGCCCTTGGGTATGATTTTGCTGAGAGAGCTAAGAGAAGGTCCCAAACTGGAGGTCTCAGATGGTGACAGAAGGTCCTGCAGAATCATGCAGCGACAAGACTGAGACATGAGTGTGAATCCAGCTGTGCTTCTTCTCTTTCTCTGTCCACAGAGGAAGCGCCAAGGGAAACGCAGTGCTTGCAGAAGGCAAAGAGACTGAGTGAACAACTGAGGGCAGCCTACATCAAAGCTAGTTTCCGCCACATGTCTTTGCTTGGGATTTCTCCCAATCAACCCACTGACAGATTGCTGGGATGCGATCTGTCCATTGTTTCTAAGCATATCAGCAGCCCAGCCCAAGAAGCCCTGATGATGCCCGAGGTCTTGGCCAACCTAAACTCCATCATGTGTGTGGAGGGAGAAGTGGGGAGCGGGAAGACAGTCTTCCTGAAGAAAATTGCTTTTCTCTGGGCATCAGGATGCTGTCCGCTGCTGAACAGGTTCCAGCTGGTCTTCTTCCTCTCCCTCCGTCCTACTGGACAGGACAGGGGGCTGGCCAACATCATTCATGACCAACTCCTAGACAAAGAAGATGCTCTTACTGAAGAGTGCCTAAGGAACATCATCCAGCAGTTCAAGAACCAGGTGTTATTTCTTCTGGATGACTACAGTGAAATGTACTCAATCCCACAGGCCATACAGATGATTCTCAGAAACCACACATCACGGACCTGCTTACTGATCGCGACCCATAGAAACAGAACTCGGGACATCCGCCAATACCTCCATACAGTTCTTGACATTCAAGATTTTCCCTTCTATAACACTGTGTATATATTACGGACACTCTGCCCATATAATTTTATTCGTCTGCTGAAGTTTTATGTTTACTTTGAAAAAAACCAAGATGTACAGGGAATTCTGAAGACGCCACTGTTCGTGGCAGCCATCTGGGCTAATTGGTCTCAGTACCCTTTACACCTGTTTTTTGATGATGTGGCAGTTTTCAAGTCCTATATGGAACATCTTTCCTCGAGGGACCAAACAAACAATGAATCTCTCAAAGCAACAGTGTCCTCCTGTGGTCAGCTAGCCTTGAAAGGGCTTTTTGCATCTCGCTTTGAGTTTGATGTTGATGACCTCAGGGAAGCAGGACTGGATGGAGATGGAAGTCTAACCACGTGTTTCATGAGCAAGTTCACTGCCCAGAGATTAAGACCAGTCTATCGGTTTTTAAATCCTGCTTTCCAAGAATTTCTTGCCGGGATGAAGCTGATTGAACTCCTGGATTCAGATAGGCAGGAAGAGCAAGAGTTGGGAGTTTCTTATTTGAAAGAAATTAATTCCTCCTTGAAGGCTGTATTCCTCTATAAGAAGTTTTTGATTTATGTCTCTAGCCAGCCTTCAACAAAGGTGGGACCAAAATTGGTATCTCATTTGCTTCAGTTGGTGGATCATAACGAGTCATTGGAGAGTGTATCCGAAAAAGATGAGTACCTGCAGATCCAGCTGGAAAGTTCACCATGCATGCAGTTAATGTGGGATATGTGGAAAATCTATCCAGAGACTTTCTTTGCATATGCTTCATTGCGATTACTGGATCTTGCTTTAAAAGTCGCTTGTCAAAGCAGCACGATGGCTACATGTTCTCTATTTTTCCTGCAGTTCTTTCAAGGAAGGACACTGGGTTTGGAAGAACTTGCATCAGAGTACTTCTTTGACTATCCAGAAAGCCTGTTAGTATTGAAGAGCATCAAAGTCACCCTAAATGGGAAGGAGCCACCACCCTGGCTATGTTTGCCAGACTTGGAAAGATGTTACGACAAATCACAGATACCAGCCGTAGATGCAGACTATGCGGCTGCCTTTGAATCTATGAAGGAATGGGAGCAAAATATTGCTGAGAAAAAAGAGACCATACACAAGCATCTGAGTAGGAGACTCACTAAGGCTCCCAGGCTCTGTGGAGGCTATTGGAAACTGTCTCCCCCACCCCACAAGATCCCTCTCCTGGAAGTCCATGTGAGCAATATGGATGCTGCCGACCAGGAAATGCTCAGAGTTCTCATGACTGCTTTCTCAGTTTCTCAACGCATTGAACTTCATTTAACAAACAGCACCAGCTTCCTGGAAAGCATCCGCCCAGCCCTGGAGCAGCACAGAACCTCTGTCACCAGGTGTTCCATAGACCGCTTTGAGCTCAGTACAGCAGAGCAAGAGCTGCTTCTCAGCCTGCCTTTCTTGGAGTCTCTTGATATCTCAGAGACGGTCCAGCTGCAAGGTATACTTGAATATATTTTGGATAACTTTTTTTTTGTATGTGGTACTAGGGTTTAGACTCAGGCCTTGTGCTTGCTAGGTAATTGGTCTACTGCTTGAGCCATGTCCCTGAAATGTTCTCAAGGCTCCTTGTATTACAGCATGACCTATCGCACCTGATTTTTTTGGTTGGTTGTGGGACTTGAACTCTGGGCCTGGGCACTGTCCCTCAACATTTCAGATCCACAGTGCCACTTCTGGTTTTCTGAGTGGTTTATTGGAGATGAGTCTTACAGACTTTCATGCTTGGGCTGGCTTTGAACTGTGATCCTCAGATCTCAGCCTCCTGAGTAGCTAGGATTACAGGTGTGAGCCACTGGCACCCAGCTTGATTCTTTTTTT